GAAGCAAGAACAGTATTCGTACACGGGGCGGTATACACACGAAAAACCATAAGAACAATATTCGCACATGTGAATGTAAATCACACGACAACAATACTTATGTATTAGGACGGACCGCACATAATTCGGTTCGGTTCGAGTGAATTACTGCCAGCTCTCGCCAGCACAGTCATTCTTGGTTCCTGGTCCCGCGGGACTCATGACCATATTTTTCTGGCTCACGACTCTGGGAGTCTTGCAACTACGTACTCAGGACCACACACAGAAACAAGGGAAATGATGAAGAAAGCAGTCTTCTGGGATTTGGCACCGTGTATATGTGGTGTTGACCGACGTTTNGATACTTGTAAATAGGAACGGAGCGCACCAGAAACAATGAGAACAATAGTCTACAGTGAGACGGACCGCACATAGAAATAAGAACAACAGAGCTCGTACATTTGAACGGACGGCACTCAGAAACAAGCACAGCCACCATAGAACATGGGCGCGGAACGCACGTGGGGATGTGAACGTAAATGCTCACAGACCTGCATAGGAAGGGACTGCGTGGAGACACAAGGACAGAAATACTCGTAATTGGGCACGGACCGCATAGAGACATCATCTGAAGTTTCCAAACCAAGCGCTCTGTGTTACATTTCTTCGTTTCCTCGTGCTTGCTTCATGCTATATTTATCCAGTCCTCCTTAACTAAATCACCGTGCAGCAGAGCACAAGCTGTTATTCCTTTCATTCCCTGTTCATTCCTCTCTCTTATGTCTAGTTGTTCATTCATCACTTCGTTCTCAAATCTTTGTTCTTCCTTCAGGCTTCTTTATATTTTGTACTCAGGTAACCAGTCTACCAACTTCATGGTGTAGGTTTCCAAGATTCAGTATCGCCAATATCAAAACCCGCCACTGAACACAATAATTATCTTGCAACATGTATCTTCATTTTACACGCGTCAGCCTTTTATTTTTCTAATTTGTATATCCGTTTATGTGGCATTTGCTGTCTTTTTTAATGGAAAGCTCCAAGATACCTGAAAAGCTAGACTAATTAAATGCAGTAACTCCTCCATGTACTACTATCGCAGACTGACGCAGTAATCACGCCAAGGAGGATGTGCGCAGTATGTACAGCAAGTGCTCTAACTGACCACGCTACCAGCAGGTAGCTCCACATTAGACTTTTTGAGTCCACAAACCTGGCGGTAATGGCGACATCAAAGATGGGTGAAATATTATTATTATTAGTAGTAGTAGTAGTAGTGTTACGAATATTTGTGTCTTAACGTAAGGGAGGAATATGGCGAGACATGTATGTCTAGTACGCGTACAAAATTTCAGTCAGAATACGTCAATGGAAGAGACCACTTGAGAGGTATAGGCATAGATGGGAGAATAATATTAAAATGAAACTTGAAGAAATGCTGTATGAAGGTGCAGAACTGATAGAACAGGATCAGACAGAGATCAGAAGCAGGCTTAATATTATCCTCGGTTTGTTCGTGTATGGTGAAACCAGAGAAGTCGCATTTGGTACGCTGATGTAGGAACAGAACGAATGATTTACCTCAAAGAAAAACAAAAGGCTACTAACAGCAGAACCAGTGAATATTAGGTAATGGTGCGTGTTTAATTTTGTTGAATTCGTAAGGTATCACGGACTGCGACTGATCTAGGATGTCCTAATTAGCCAACTCCGGCAGGTAGTGATGGGTAAACACAGATATATTTTAATTTCAACGCGTATATAAAATTTTTAGATTTCTCGTTCTGACTGAATGTATGAGCTGTAGGGAAAAACTTTGTATTTGTTTTCTGTGCCATTTTAAAACGTCTTTAAGCATCTGGCAGCGTTCGCACGTATTCGAAAGGGGACAACAGCCCGAGTAACATTAAACATAAGGCCGCGCCATAGCTCAAGCGGTTAGTCGCTGGCTTTCCACCGCGGGTTCGATCCCGGGCCTGGTCAAATGGGATTTGTGGTGTACAAAGTGGGGCTGGGGCAGGATTCAGGTTTTCTCCGAGCACTTTGGTCTCCCCTGCCAATCTTCATTCCACCAATTGCTCCACAATCACCCTCACCTATCATCTGGGGTTGGTACAATAGGCCAGAAGTGGCCGCAGTACAAGGGACTTAGTCCCACCCCACTAGCAATAAAAGAAAACATTAAACGTACATGTACGTGGTAACTATGTAGGATGCTGAATGGATAAGAAGAAGGTATACGGACACGACATACGTGTATATACGTCGTGGGTTAGACCGGCGTTTCCAAGCTAATGATCTGTAGTGCCTCTCTATGTGTGTGTAGTGGGTGGTTCGTGGAAGTTCCTGCTGAATTCAACTTTTCTGGGACAGCATAACCTCTTTCTGCTTCTCCCCCTAATGTTTTCAAGCAGCATAAGCGGTTTCACGTCATGATTGTGTGTTATTGTCTTTTTATCCAAGGCTATTTTACATTCCCTAAATTTATCATATACATATGTTGAAAATGATTTTGGAAATAAAATTAAAAATAAAATGAATCAGGTGATCCTCGAACAGAGAAAACTTTTGTGTAATTGTTAAAAACGACTACATAAAGTACGTGACCAAGTTTCTACTTCTGTTAAACGCAGATAACATGAAGTATAGTAAACAAGATGGCCCGCAAGGCGAGGAACTCTGGTTGAATAACATTGACGTCTATTTGAGTTGTCCTGGACACGCTGTACGTTAACCATGATATCTCGGGCCACTGTGAAGGCATTTCTGTAACCTTGTCTCTTAATTAGGGGCAGTTTTACACGTGTCTTGTTACGTAACAAGGCAGATTATCATTAGGGCAGGATAGTGTTTAACCATGTACTCTAATGTTAAACAAGTATCGGCAATGATATTACAGTCGGGCTATATACAGTTGCTAGTTCGAATTCCTCTTGGAGCATGGATCTTAGACAGAATTTTCTGTTCTATTACGATCTGATCTTCCACAAAAAGGAATAGATTATTTAATAACGCTTTATCATCAGCTTTAGTTACATAGCGTTGAATATAATGATGATTACACGAATTATGAATTCGGAAGGACTTGGAAGGAACCGGTGGTAGCCTATTTTGATATCCACGTAGGCCTGTTCCAGCTGTTTTAAGATGTAATGAGGAAAATCACAAAAGGATTCAGTCACAATAACTGTCACCGGCCGCCGAAATTCAAACCTAGGATTTCCTGAGTAGAGAAGGTGAGTGATAACCGCTTATACACGACGTTTCAGCTGCGAAGGATTCCTGTAACTTGTCGAAGAATGCAGAAACCTTCTACAGTAGACGAGATCAGGGCTCGAATCGGGCGTATCACCAAGAAGGACCTGCTGAACTGATGATAGAACCCATTTTCAGTGGTTTGATCCCCCACGGGAGGAGTCCTACCAGTTGTCTTATTAAGGACTAGAAGATGTCTGCTCGTGGGCCAGTGCTCGAGTCACATTTTAGCACCAAGAAGGAGAAGACGAGGAGGAGGATGAGGAATTCAATTGAAATATATAAGGCACGCTCTTTTTCTCGCATTTAGAATCCAGCTCTCTTGTAGACTTAAAGCTTCTGACTGAAAACCATCGCAGATATTTAAGCAACTCTACTTTTCTCTTATGGTGTACGTACGAAACAGTGGTAACCCATCTGAAGGAAGCGGCAAACGCTGAGTCCCCATTGGCCTTGAAACAAACTTCAATGAATGGCCATCTTCTAACCACGGAGTAAAGAAAATATGTTTGCAAAACTACAGAATTTTATTTCGGGGAAAAAATGAAACTGTTCTAGTAGTGTCCGTATCCCCGCTGCTTAAATTCTGGAATATGTCGAATAAGTAAAGGTGTCCCTGTGCTCAGCTAATTAAGCACTAAGCCATGAAAACGTATGGAGGAGTGGATGTATAGGTCCAGGTTTTGTTGACCTCGACACTAGTTGGAGGTGAGTGGTCAGTTTTACGTCCCGACCGCTTTATCCCCGGGGAAAGAGCTCCCGGTACCCATTGGAGGGGAGGCTACGCAGAATAAGTAAAACATCAAACTGAACGTGAAGTGCCATCTTGGAGAATCTATGTGAAACAAAATCGACAATGTGGACATTGAAAGTAAACCTTCACTCTCCTGACATCTATGGAGACACTACCGAAGTTACTTCATTCAGAAACTTATTCTTAAAAGTATAACATTGTTATTTTGCTTCGTGTATCTGCAGCATCTTTTGTAACGATCTGCAATGATGAGCAATAGGAAGGAGTTGTATGGACATGGTTATGTTCTTAAATTTAATATTTTATATTTTTAATGGCACTGCAAGTGCGTCTTCAGAAGGAAATAACTTTAAAAATATACGCATTAAAACTGACAAATGTATATATTTTGCTTACAGCATATATCAGTCCTGCGCAATTGTAAATATTATATGTAACTGAAAAAATTACAACCGATTATGTAAATCTGACTTGGTTCATCCTGGTCCGTCACACTAGTAAGGCTGCATAGGGTATAAATCCAGTTGACTTTGAAACCCAAAGTATGTCACATTGCATCATGTACAATTTTTAGTTACAATACACAATACTATTTTTCTAATTAGTCTAAAGTTGGATGATTTCAGTGTTTTGTTATGTGAATATTATGAAAATGTTCTATCACACAACATATTCGTGTTACCTTTGAAAAGTAGAAATATGTGTGACATCTCACAAAGATTCAGCTTGGAGAGTGGCGAGTGTGCAGGTGCTGGTTAATGTTACACTGCGCGAGTATTTTGTTTCGATATAATACATTCATAACAACACATTCATCTCATGGGGCTTCGAGAACTTGTTGACTTGTATACCGACACATTTCGTATGCAGAAGACCTCATTCTTCCCGCCAATTGTACTCGATTTTCAGTGCAGGGGACATGGTTTCAATTGTAACCAACAGATGATGCTGGAAGGTCATGGGGTGTGTTCTACCGTCAACATACAACGTTTCATTGATTGTATAAGTAAACGAGCTTGTGTCTCCATATTTGATAAGATTCCTAATGTAGGCGTCGTAATTTGGTTATTTCCAGACGTTCCAGACTCTGTAACCAATCTTAGTCTTTGCTTTTGAAATAATTTAGGGTAGGTACACCAGCGGATTGAAAATTAGATTACTTAGGATAAAATTAAATGGGGCTATATGCAAACAATTATCTGTACTATGTTGAAGAATGAAATAATTACCTTTGCTATGTTGCTTGACAATAGCCTGTGGAATCGTATCTTTGATATCCATGGACGTGATGTGATGTGATTGGCCAGTTAATTGTCCGTAAAATTAAGTAATGGAAGATATTTGTAGATTCGTGCGTTGTAAATTAGAATGCGTTAAAAGTGCTAGTTGTGAGTATCACCATCCGCTCATAAATGTACACTTGGCAGGCACTTTGATTTAACATGTGTCAAGACTAGATACAGTCCCATATACACTAGTATAATATTTAAGAACTCTAAATTTGAAAACTTTAAAAATGACATAAATATTGTATTTGAAGCCTTAAACAGATGGTTCGAAGCCAGTTTACTCTCATTAAATTTTGATAAAACCCATTACATATCATTCACAACTAAAAACAACCACCAAATTGATCTGGACATCAGTTATGCCAACAAATTAATCTGTAAAGTACTTGATACAAAATTCCTTGGAATACATGTAGACAGTACACTGTCTTGGAAAATACATATTGAACAAATTATACCTAAATTAAATGCAGCTTGCTATGCGATGAGATCAATTAAGCCTTTTATGTCACAGGAAACATTGAAGATGGTTTACCATGCCTACTTTCATTCTATTATGAACTATGGATTAATATTTTGGGGGAACTCTTCACATAGTGTAATAATTTTTAAAATACAAAAGAATATAATAAGAATCATTACAGGATGTAGAAGTAGAGATTCATGTAGAGAATTATTTAAGAAATTAAAAATTCTACCGCTTCAATCGCAATACATATTATCGCTTCTCCTATTTGTTGTTTACAACAAAGATAAATTCAAATTAAATTCTGATGTCTATAACATGAATACTAGACAAAAATATAACTTCCACCTACCCTCATCAACTTTATCAGTATATCAAAAAGGAGTCTACTTTACTGGCATAAAAGTGTTCAACAATCTGCCACAAAGTATTAAAAACTTGGGCAATGATACTAAAAAGTTTAAATCAGAGTTAAAGAATTATCTACATGCTCATTCCTTCTACTCTTTAGATGAATACTTCAATGTAAATAGAGAATGATGTAAAATTAAGTTATATTAATTTTTAAGCTAAAATTGCCTGTACTTATGTATGTAACCTTTTGACTTGTTCTATATCCAAAGGTACTAACCTGCTTAGGATTTATAGAATGTAAATAAATTCAATTCAATTCAATTCAATACAGTTATTTACTGCAGCTGCAACAGAATTAGAATATATTTTACTCACAGTTGAATTCCATGATAATGAATATATAAATTACTGAACTGGAAACATCCAACAGAAATCCTTGAAATTAGAGCACTCGTTATACAAGAAGAATGTGATAGTTGAGATGGTAGAACCTTTTTCTTGACAAGTGGTACTTTCTGGAATAAAATGCCGTCTAATGTGATAAGGTGCATTTTACAGGAATGTCAGTGGACTTACAAGATGCTACTTCCAAGAAGATAGAGCCTCTCTTAATCTCCTCTACAAGAATCTCAAATCCAGTCTTTTTTCCTATCTTTTATTTCTTTTTTCTCCCTGTGCCATGTGCATGATACAAAGGTAGAAAAGACGCTACTAGGAATTGTATGTGAAATTGAAATAGGGATGAATAAATAGCTCAGAAGTTTCAAGATGATCAGTATAGTCAGAAGAATTCTGTCTTCTGGGTTATCATCGGAATTTCCGGGGGAACATGTCGCCCGAATATTCAGGGTCAAAGAATAATGAAACAAGAAGCCAGCATGAAGCAGGTAGGAAGCTTGGCTTTGTTACCTACCATCGCACATTTCTTGCTTGATTTATTCTTCAATCCTGAAGATGGAGGCGACTTGTTTCTGCAAAATGTCTGTTGACTTTTGACAGACTACACGGCATTATATCCCAGATGACAGAACTCTTCAAAACCACTACCATCAGAAGCTCAAATCCTACAAAATGCAGTCAGTACTTTATAGTGCAGTAATTTTTTATACAGTCGTTGGTGGGTAAGCAGTTCAGATTTCAGTCTATCTCAAGATAATTTTGAATTGTTAATTCTTGGACTGCACATTTGCATTCTGCTATTTCATACAAAATTTACATTACAGGAATCTGAGAGGGAAATGATTGAAGAGAAGAAATGTCAGGAAAAAGAAGGCAAATGTGGAGCTTGGAATTAAGTTGAGATTGGTGAGTCATTAGCAGATTCTTTATGTACAACATAGGCTTATTCAAATTAAGAGATATTGGCACTTTAGTATTGGTTTTAATCATGTGTTTATATTTTAAGTATTTCATAAATCCTGTACCATATTTAATCATATACTGCAGTTTTGTTAGGGGTTTTAGTAGAAACACATTAATCATTACTGTTTAATATTAGTAGCAGTAGGATAGTTGGTTGAAGCACTGTGCTACAAGTTGGAAGGTCATGGGTTCAAGTCCTGATGAGGTCATTAATTTTTTTCAGTTGACCTAATCTTTCCAGCTGCAATATGGCCCTGAAGTCGACTCAGCCTCCTAACAGAAATGAGTACCAGGAATTTTTGTTAGGGGTTAAGTGCGGCCGGTGCGTAAGGCTGACAACCTTACCGCCATCGATGAGCTGATTGTCTAGAAAATGTGGGAGCCTTAATGTCTCACAACCCTATGGACCTCCACAATCTGTTACAGGGATAACTTTACTTTTTTTTTTTACTGTGTAGTGTATACCAATACACTACACTCATGAAGAATGCCGTCTTCTGGGATGTGGCACTGCATAGATATTGTATAAACCGATGTTTTGGAGGAACATATCACCTCCATCTTCAGGGTATAAAAATCCACAAGCGAGGAACCAGCATGAGCAGGTGGTTGCAGACTGAGTCACCTAAGTTGTCCTGTAGCTGTCAGGTCTTCTCCGGAGCAGGCCTTAGGGAAGAAAGTTGTCAAGGGCACAAGGATCGGCCATTTGCTATGATTATGGATTAAAGTAGGAGATTTTGAAGGCTAGAGAATATCTGAGCTTTGAATACTTTATAATCTCCTCTATAACTGGATTGCAAGTCTCGTCTTGTCTCTTGGGATTGACCCACTTGAGTATTAGGGAGGTGTACAGGATGAAGTAAGCAAGCAAGACTAATTAAGGAATTTAATATACGGCATTGCTTTAACTTTTCAGAGATGATGAAAAGTTTGGGCGTTGCGAGAGCTACAGTGGTCCGACCTCAGACTTCAAAGAAAAGGAGGGCTACAAACCAAATGTTAAACTCGACTACACAGATGATGATGGACACATACTTAATGCAAAGGAGGCTTTCAGGTCAGCACAGATAATAGCATATCTGTTTTTAAGATAGGTCCCACTGTGGAGGGTAGCCTGTCCAATGGTAGTAGATTCTTTATGGCAAAAAATTTTTCACAGTAATTGCCATTTTAAGAAAAAATTTCAAGGAGGAAGCAGTTTTCATGGGACTACCGTGTTTTATCATCCATGCGTGCCATACTCACGATAATGTGTGAAACAACTGATGGATTTATGTGAAACTCTGTATTGTCATCATGCCACTCACATGTTCTTTTAGTTGTCTACCATCAGCCATATTAACATGATGACTGAGTTGGGAGCAACATTAGAGCCACTTAAATTAGGTCCTTAAGAAAAGGTCCTGGGGCTGTTATGCCCATTCAGAAGGTTCTGAGTTTGATCCCCACTCGCATCTGTGTACAGATTTTTCTGCTCACAGAAGATGCCTTCACATCTGCCAGAGTTTGAGCTTCAGGAATACAAAGGATACCCCCCCCCAATGGTTTAGAGCCCATGTTAAATTGTAGGGCCCCTCTGCTGACCAGCACTATCATGATTACCCTATCATGGGTGGTGAGGTTATTGTCTTCCACCTCAGATGCTTTCAGTAGNATTTTAGCGTCCTGTTGCACTGATTCATGTCCATGGTTTATGCTAACCGTCTTATAGTGCATACACTTTTTCACCTTACTCTTCACTTCCACACTACATGTTTCAGCACTAATGTGCCATCTTTAGGTGTCTCTATGCACGTGTATTCGTCATATATGACGATGAATTCTAAATATTAAAACTTTTCAGGATTCATCCTACGTCATCCTAGGATGAATCCTGAAAAGTTTTAGTATTTAAAATTCATCATCATATATGACAAATACAGATTTTAGTCGTTTTAGAATAAAGACATCATGGCGTGCAGTACAGTAGTTTAACGTGCATAGAGACACCTGAAGATGGCACATTAGTGCTGAAACATGCAGTGTGGAAGTGAAGAGTAAGGTGAAAAAGTGTATGCACTATAAAACGGTTAGCATAAACCATGGACAAAATATTTTGTGTTAATCATTTCAGTCCCTATGACTTTAATGTGCTGTAGCATGCCCATTTCTGATTATTGGCTGTATGAATAAGTTGCGTTGGAATATACATATTTTTATTATTTCACAAAATAACAGATTGGACTATATATGGATCATACCCTTCTTTTCTGGCTGAAACTTCAGGATGAAAGGATTTTACGTTACTTGGAAACATGGCCACATTGTGGAAGATCCTAAAATACAGTGACTTTAATGTTGTCTCTGTTTCTCATTTCAGATACCTGTCTTGTGAATTTCATGGAAAGGGACCTGGCAAAAATAAAGTGGAGAAACGAATGAAGAAAACTGAACAGGAGGGAGTGAGTATCAGTCCAGATCTGGTCATGAGCTCTTATTACTAATACAAACCGGAAGGTAATGGGTTCAAGTCCTGATGAAGTCATTGGATTTTTTTCAATTGACCTGATCCTTCCAGCTGCACTATGGCCCTGAAGTTGACTCAGCCTCTAACGGAAATGAGTACCAGGAATATTCTTTGGGGTAAAGGGCAGCCAGCGCATAGGGCTGACAACCTTGCTGCCATCTGTGAGCCGATTGTCTAGAAAATGTGGGAACCTCAACATCTCACAACCNGCACAGCAGTTTCCTCATTTATAATTTATAATTTTAAAACAGCTGATGATGACCTTACAGGTCGAAACATGTGCTGAATAACTTCTAGAAAGCTCTATAGAAAGACGTGTTGCACATGAGACTGAAACCATCTGATGCTATTTCTAAATGGTGCTCNTTGCTGCACTTCATTTAGTACAAAATTGTGTCACAGTCTCACGTGCAGCGTGTCCTCCTGTAAACTTCATAAAAGTTATTCACTACATGTTTTGACCTATAAGGTCATTATCAGTTGTTTTAAAATTATAAATGAGGAAACTGCTGTGCTTCCATATTGTGGTTGTTGGTCATCATTATGCGGTTCCTTCTATGTGCATGTATATACGAAGTGGTGGGTTGTTATGCTGCGTGTCCCTCTTGCACTGCATGACACGGCAGGCAGATCAATCAGCCACTTTGTATATACATGCGCATAGAAAGGACCACATACTGATGCCCAACAACCACAATATGGAAGCACAGCAGTTTCCTCATTTATAATTTATAATTTTAAAACAGCTGATGATGACCTTACAGGTCGAAACATGTGCTGAATAACTTCTAGAAAGCTCTATAGAAAGACGTGTTGCACATGAGACTGAAACCATCTGATGCTATTTCTAAATGGTGCTCCATAAGGAAGCAAATTTTAGTTATCATTACATGTGCACGAATCCACATAGCAGATATCCATCCACACTTTGGTGCATTCATTTTCTGCTGACTACAAACATACACAGTAGCTTCAGTCCTGGGACAGAAGCGAACACTGCAACTTTGTGGCAAGTCAGATGGAGCCCTCCTCATAAAACACACAGCATATTTGTTCAGTTGTCATTAGGCTAGTAGACATAGACACAGACCATGGTTTGGAAGTTGTGAGAAATTGATGACTTCAAGCAGCAGACTAACTTAAAATTTGGCCAGCTGTTAGGATAATCAGTGACAGGAGCTGCAGATATTACAGAATGTTTAAGGGCAAACAGACTGTGCCTCATCTGAAGGAGATTCATTTTTTTGTTTGTTTGTTGATGAAACAGATGAGCTCAACAGACACCCACTCGGAACACTTAGCCTCTTGCAGCAGAAGCAGAAAGAAATGCAGTCTCCTCTCGTGAGTATGCTTTTTTGTCTGCATTCATTGAAAAGAACAACCAATTCTAATTAAAAAAATTGCATTCATTAACTGACAGACTTAGACGTGAGAACACAGATTACTAGATGAAACCAGTGAACTCAATTCAAAATTTGTCTAATCTCGACAAATAACAGTAATTCATAGGTTTAACTTAAAGGCTGAGTAGATGGGAAGCCATATAGTAATGTCGATGTCATGGTGATTATACTGCTGCAAAGTAAATATTTGTTTTTCTCTGAGCATGTCACTTGTCTTGTTATAATTTGTAGACTGTACACTATAAAGTGTCATTTTAATGATGGATTGATTAATAAGACTTTCCTCCTTGGT